ATCACGAGTTATTGGAATCGATTTATTGATTGGTCTAGGGGTGATGACCGGATGAAGACTGTAGAAACCCAGTTGATGGCAGTTCGGTGTAACACCATTGACAATGTTGCACTGAAATCTGGTGAAGCATGATATAAAGCACTTTCTTCAACACGAAAAAATAAGAATAATTTGTAGAATGTGAATAAAAATAAAAGAATGAAGTTTTCGGTCGTCAATCGTCGCTGTCTGAGAGATGCGCCCAGCACTCGATTTCTATTCAAAATTGTATTGACGTATTGAATGTGCATGCCATCTCTACGATGACTTGCAGGCCAGCCAATGTGCAAGTCAGACCTTCCCTTCTCCCAGACGAGTCGTACCAATCAAACGACCCCGAAGGGATGGAAGTATTGGTTGACTAGGCGGATATCGATCCGTATTTCGAACCCGTGACAATGCATGTGTGACAGTGCCTCACTTGCCACAATACCACCTCCGCTCGTGTTAATAATGAATAACTAAAATGAATAACAGTAAAGAGTGCTCACCTCGTCGACTGTGCCTCCAGCAGATCGTATTCGATCATATTCGTCTTCATCAAGCTCACCAGTTTCAGTAAGTTTCTCCAAATGCCCGCCAGTCATCACAGCAGCAGTAACATTTCCCACATAGGAAATTCTAAGATGACTCGATCCCAGGTGAACAAGCAGACAGCCGAAAAATTCGAAGTCATCGTAGTATTGAGCGCCCGATAGGATCATTAACCTCACATGGGTGGAGTTCGAATATCTTGAAGAGTCGAATCCCTTGGAAAAAGAAATAGTGGCTTACTCACTGGCCCCTAATCGCTCTCCAGCTTCTTCCAAGGATTCGTGCGCTTTCAGGAGAATCGCTGGAAGATTGTTCAGATGTTCCTAAAAAACTTCAATTCGGGGATTCAGAGAACTTTCCATGAGACATAAAAAGATCTTGAGTGGAACGGGAAGCGGAACCAGTCTAGTAATTAGCAAAGAAATATCATGGTTCACGAGACTGAGTTCCGTTTAAGGTTCAAAAGGACATTAATCCTCTCTTCTCTCCCCATGAATGGCTAATAGCCCTATCGAGAATGTGAAAGTTTCAAGAATGAAAAATAGTAGTTTAATGTCTTTGTCCAATGCATTCCCTCGCTGCCACTGACGTCACTTCACTATTACCCCACCCCCACCCTCAGAAGTGGGCAAACAAGAATGTCAGTTAGAAGTTTTAGTGCAAGAATGAAGGCATGAAATAGTCTACCGAATTCAGCAGAAGTTGGTGCAGATTAGTTTGAATTGTTTTCGGAAGCTCATAATTGGACGAACCATCCACCATGCCAAAAATATCGCCGCAATGGATCCGACGAATACATAGTCTAAAATGAAAGAAATTTTAGCTCTCTCACTGTTACGGATTAGTTTACGAAGAATTTATTCATATCGTCTATCAAAACCCAGAGAGATCAGGGCTTTCTTGAATGCTTTGCTTACTGATAGTTTGATCACGATCTGCAAGATGGCAGGAAAAAACTTCGGTCGTGACAAGTATTAAGAGGTGGATCTATTCCTGTAGCAAAGGCTTCCCAGACCGACCTTCCCTTCCCTCCCCTCCAAAGAGAACGGTTCATAATTAGGATGGGTGTACTAGGACCGTGTCACGGTCACGACTCATTCCGAAAGGGACCGTTCGAGAGTCTTGGTCCATATCTTTCCACCTCGAATTTCCGACCCATTCGCTACGAGGAGACTTGGCTGGTTTCGTGGAGTCAGACCCTAGAATGCAGGTGCAAGAAAGCTGCAAGCAGGCAGTTCAGTACCGTTTCGAAGGATCTGACGAGTTAGACAAACTGGAGACTTTTTCGGCTAACACCGACATTGGTGTGACCGGAAATCCCTCCACCGCGCGGCTGAGAACGATCCAGCTCAGGTGTTTGTTTTAGCAATCATTTCGAACTCAGATAATCCTTTTTGTGTACTATATCAAGACTTTTTCGAGCTCTACTCACTTGTTACGATTTCCTGACGTCTCCGAAAATCCCACTTGAACTCGATCTTGTGACTGAGCTCCGATATCGTACAATGCCACTGGTTTCTTGTGAGTTCGCCTAAATTATACAGACATCCATTGGCTCACTAGGCAAGAAAAAGTAGCCCATGGAAGTCAACCGGATATTCCTAGAAGCATACCCACCTCAAGGTTCCGGAATTCAGATTGAGAGCTGGATTACACGTGAGATCCAGCTGCTTCAATGCTGGTCCGGTGGCTATGGAACTTGTATGAGCTCCAAGAGCATTGTTTGATATGTCGACAGTCTGCAATTATCCATTTCAGAAGTTCTTGGGAAGTCTAATGGATTCAGCATTCTTTTACTTTTCGGTAAAGATTTCCATTCGGTTTCATACAAAAGCCTTCGAGTTTTCAATTAGTATCTGGTTGTACGGTGAGTTTTCGGACCGAAAAATGTAATGAATACTCCGTTTTTTCAAAAAGAGTAGGAACTGGAGGATCCGCTCATCAAAAGGATACGAATTCTCAAGATGAACTCACTGGGATCGGTGCTAACTAATTGATGAGCCAAACAATCTTGTATTTTATGCAATTTCTTACCTGAAGCGTAGGCGACACGGATAAGTCAGGAATAGCTTTGATCCGATTCGAGTGAGCTTTAAAAATCTGCAAGGCAGGGAGATCGAAGATTGAGGACGACAGTGTAGTGAGCTCATTGGAACTGAGGTTCAACTCTTCTAACATGGTGAGCGACCCGAGAGCACTGAAATCGAAGCGCTTCAGCTATTAACCCTCGATTAGGAGAAGGATCGAACTTGAGTGAGGCAATGGTACTAAATCGAGATACATAGAGTAAGGTAGTAAGTAACCTGTCATCGAAATATCTCAATCTGTTATGTGAGAGGTCGAGTATTTTGAGCTTTCTCATCTTCATCAGTATCGGCACGATCGATTCATCTAATCGATTATGGCTGAGACGGAGGGTATTGATCCGGTTCCGGTCATGGTGAGCATTAACAGCTGGTAAACCAGACAGACGATTGAAGGAGACGTTTAGGTGGCGAAGTCTGAAGAAGACTTGATACATTACTAACAATCATTCATTATTGCATTCCAGTCAGCCGTATAGAATGAAAAGGCAAAGGTCCAAGGGACTGGAGGACTGGGAACATCCCAAAGGCGGTTGATCAGCGCCAAGGGATCTTGGCGCTGATTAACCACATTTGGGATGTTCCCAGTCCTCCAGTTTCATTCATAGTCCTTTGAATGCGTACGTAGCCTATGCACTGACTTGCTGGGCCCAATCGGGGTAACCACCCTCTAAAAGACCACACTCCTTATGTATGGAAATTCAGTTTCACTAGGCGGTTATGTCACTAGGTGGGACTCGATCCACGGACCACTTGCATAGCAGCGCTTCACCTCGCTCTAGCCTGTGAGGTATCATAAACCCTGAAGCGAACTGAAGCGAGTATTGAACGCAGGAATTTCAGTTCTCGAATAAGTACAAGTGAGGTTGGAACAAATGATCACGATGGGTAGCAGACAAAATTTCTTCACGATAGTCCCCCACTCCTGAAGGCACCTATGCCATCCATACTTCGATCTTTTCAGAGGGAAATTCATCCAAGTGTATAGAAAAAGCTAAACCTGCTGCATTTCCGCAAGAAATTCGATGGAAGTTCCTCGAGTTGGTTACTATAAAGCACACAAGAAATCAGATTGCAGTTGTCGAAAAGAGGAGGCAGCGCCTTCAAACGATTATCCTTGCAGAAAAGGTACCGCATTGATTGAACACTGAATAACCTGAAATTGAATTCTGAACAATTTTTCCATGCTTTGAAAAATTGAGTTTTTGTTGAATATTCTGGAAAGGATGGAATCAAAGTCTCTGGACGTTAATCAATTCCGTCAGAAAGATGCGCCCCGTATCCGTTTTCCATTCAGAATCGTAGTGGCGTAATGAGTGCGTATGTGGCCTATACAATGACTTGCGAAGACCAACGGATGAACACGTCGGTGGTTTTATCCTCCAAGACGATTCTGATACCATCTAGCCGATCCGAGAGGAATGGAAAGCCTAGTTGGCTTACGCGGATATCGAACCGGGATTCGAACCCGTGACCATGTGTATGTGATAGTGTGCCATTTGCCACTACGCCACCACTACACCACCTACACCTGCTCTCATAAATGTTTACTCTCTCGTTCAGAAAGGGATCTTTGTTGTGGGTAAACAAAAACCTTAAACATGTCATCAAAAAGTCACCTATCAGGTAGACTGGTGAGCCGATTGTTATTCACCCGAAGACAGTCGATTTGTGATAGATCGCCTATCCAATCCGGGAGCACATCAAATTTATTGTGAGAAACGTCAATGAAGACTAGATGAAGTGGTACAGGCATCACGATCAGACAATCCAACACTGAAATTAAGTGACTGAACTTTGAAGCCCTTTGTCGAGGCGGGTTCAACAAACGCCTTCAATAGATACTTCGACAGGACCCTAACCCACCTTGTTATCTAGTTGTTAGTATAAAAACCATCTCTGATTAGTAAGAAAGTGACTCACTGTTGTGCTGAGCGTAAAGATGAGTGAGACTTTGACCATTGAGATGAAGTGATGTTAGCTGTAGCCGTTCACAATGTAGAACCTAAAAGTAAGAAGTCTTTGGTGGCTGTTTCCAATTGAATACATTGAGCCTCTGACCTAATCTTGGGAAGAGATACCTGGAGGGATGGGATATTTGTGAGATGAACAGTAGACACTTTGCAGTTGTCCCGTATATCCAGAAAGGTCAGGTGATCGAAGCAGCCACTGGGTAGTCGAAAGCAACCGCTAAGTGAGCTCCTTCTCAAGTCTAGCTGGAAAGATCTGGGCATTATAGCTGGGTCCCCGACATTGAATGATCAGCTCTAATAGCTATTTAGAACTATTTACTATCACCTTCATAATATTCACGGGCCTATAGACATCCAGACTCTCGATGTAATTTCCAGCCAGAGCCCACTCTCTCAAGTGAGGTAGATTGGTGAGCGTTTCTTCCGGCACCTGAGCGATGTCAATCAACGTTCTCTTTCGAGTCATTTTCTTCCAGAAGTTATTTGCTTACAAACAACCAACTTGTTTGATTCGATTAAACCGGAGATTGAGCCAAACAAGCTGATCACATTCGACTAGATGGATAGGCAATGAGCTCAACCAGTTATTCTCCATGTCGAGTGATGCCAACCTGAAAATAGGCATGCCATCTCTTTGAGATTCTG